TCCTTTTTTTTTTTTTTGCCATAGGACACGTGCGCTCACAAAAAAGAGACACAAAGAGGGAAAGTGATGAGAAATGACCCCCTGAGGGGATGGCCATGCTGCAACCCCTTGTCCTCCATCCTCCTCTCAGGTTTTTGAGTGTGCATGCACACATGCCCAGCATGATTTTCAAGCCGCCAGTGCAGGACTTGAACTGTGGTCAGCCACATGGGATCTAGTGCCTTAACTACCACACCACCAGCTGACTCCCAAAAGTGATGCAACTCTTTAGACATTTGGTTTTTGAGAGACACATTAATACAGTTGTAATTTGGAAGTTTGGCTAAGTGAGGTGAACTGGGGCTAGGTTAATTTTTTTTTTTTTTTTTTTTGAGAGGTTTTTGCTGTAGGGCGCGTGTGCTCACCAGACAGACAGAGAGAGACAGAGAGACAGAAAGCAAGAAATCACCCCTCAGAGGGGATCGCCACACCGCAATCCCTTCTCCTCCATTCTCCTCTCAGGATCTTGGGCACGCATGCACACGCACCCGGCATGAGTTTTAAGCCACCGAGTCCGGGACGCGAACCACGGTCGACTACATGGGAGTCCAGCGACATAACTATTACACTAACTGCTGGTCCCAGGGGACTAGGTTAATTTTGAAGCATGAAGACTGTTAGGGAACCCATTTCTAAACTGGTAGAATTTACAGACCTGGAAGTGTTTTGGCCAAACAGTGGCCCATAGCAGAATCATTTGCCTGTGCTGCTGTACTAGCTCATGTAGGTTTTATAGAAAATAGAATATATATTGTATTTCGCCCAAAAAAGGTCACATCATAGGATTCCTGAAAAGAAAATGATAGGATTGGGCCAGCCCATGGCCTATCAGTTGAGGTGGCTGGATCCACATGGCCAATGGCATGTTCCAGTCCTGGACCCAGCAGCTTAACGAACATGCCAGGTGCATGTGCATGTGCGCATGTGTACCCAAACTCCTGAGAAGAGGGAGAAGGAGAGGTGAAGGGATTGTGGTGTGATCATCCCTCAGGGGATGCTCTCTCTTTCTCTCTCTCTCACCCTCTAGCAAACTTAAAAATAATAAAGAAACTAACAGAATCACTCCGTTTATGCTGATAGACATGGTTGGGCTAAGGTCACTTACTGCTTTCTTTCATGAGCATGTTCTCAAGTTCCCATTGTGTGGAGGAGCTGTTGGTGTGCTCTGCTGACCCTTCCAAATGCCTTTGCTGGCCGGTCTCTCACTGTATCAGGAATACAGTTAGAGGAGACGGTTCACTGAGAATCTCTGCACACGTGTGTGTGCGCCCAGACTCCCAGGGAGGATGGAGAAGGATTGCAGCGTGACCATCTGCAGTGGGGGTACTTTCTCACCTTGTCTCTGTCTCTCCAGTGAGTACATGTACCCTTTAGCAAATTCTAAAAAATAGTAATGAAAAAATAATAAAATTGTGCAGTCTAAGCATAGTTTAGTAGCCAGCTGCCCATTTCTGTAGTTGCCCTTGTCTTTCTGGGTCATCACCCATTGGCAGTGTCCTGACCGTCTGGTGCTAGGTAGTCTGCTCTGGGTTAATCATCTCTTGGCAGTGGCTTTGGTTAGGATAGCCACAGGTTCCTATTCAGTTCCCTTGAAATCATTCACATGCACCTGCTGAAAGATAAGGGAAGAGATTGTTAAAATGTAATGTGAGATTAGATGACCTATAAAGTCCCCTCCAATGAGAAATTCTGATTGCATATGGTGAAAATATGAGGAACTTGTCAATTTCTATGTTAAAAGATTTTCATACTTTATCATTTTTCAAAAAAGCAAATCTTTAAATTTCTTCCTTAAGATTTGAGATTGAAAGTCTTTCCTCAGAGACCAGCAGATGGTGTAATGGTTATGTCGCTGGACTCCTACATGGCCTAGACCCGGCAGTTCAAGTCCTAGACCCGGCAGCCTGAAATGCACGCTGGGCACGTGTGCATGTGTGCTGAAAATCCTGAGAGAAGAATGGAGGAAAAGGGATTGTGGCATGGTCATCCACTTTTGGGGGTGATTTCTCACTTGCTGTCTCTGTCTCTCCAGCAAGCACATGTGCTCTATAGCAAAAATCTCTCTTAAAAAAAAAAAAAAGAAAGAAAAAAGAATCTCTCCTCAATTTAGCATTACTTACTCTTTATTTAATATTTGAATGTCTTTAAAAGAGCCAAAAGATGGAAACAACAAAAACGTTCATTGATGGGTAGATAGATAAATAAAATATGGTATATCACACAGTGGAATTGCCCCCGCCCAGAGGGGGATGGCCATGCTGCAATCCTGTCTCCTTCATTACCTCTCAGGACTTTTGACATTCATGCACACTTGCCTGGCATGATTTTCAAGCCACTAGATCCCAGACCTGAACTGTGCTTGGTCTAGCATCTTAACCACCACACCACCTGCTGGCCCCACAATGGAGGAGTATTCAGCCTTGAAAAGGAATGAAATTTTGATACATGCTGCAACATGGATGCACCTTGGAGGATATATGGAGTGAAACAAATGGACAAATATTATACAATTTCACTTGTGTGGAATACTTAGAATAGTCAAATTCATAGAAACAGAAGGTCAAATAGTGGTTACCAGAGTCTGAAGGTAGGGAAGAAAAGAGTTACTTTTTAACAGGTTAAGAGTTTCAGTTAGGGGTGGTAGGAAAGTTCTGGAAACGGATAAAGGTATTGGTTGTACAACTGTATGAATATATTTTGTGCTGCTAAGCTATACGCTTTAAGTGGCAAATTTTATGTCATAGTAATAGCATGATAATAAAAAGAACTGTTCTCATGTGTCAAAGTTGTCTGCCAGCAAGCTACTGTAACCTGAATTGGTTGGATGACTTGATAAAATGGCGCTGGGGTGACACCAGGGTGATGTCAGTGGCCATGTTGCTGTGTTTCCCCTCCATTTGCAGCTGCTGGAACTCCAAGTGAGGAGAATTGTGCTGGGAACCCTGCTCCGTGGGACGGCACACCTGTTAATCACAACTATTCAGACACAGCTTTCTTGCAGGAATGTTTATACATTGCAACTCACACCCTTGGGCCCACGATCTACTTTTTGGTTTACCCCAACAGGTGAACTGGTTTGGGTGTTGCTCACTTTAATCTGACTTCTGCTGCTCGCTGCTAACAAGTGCAGTTAGTGAAATCGTAATTTTAGATTAATAAATTAAATCCCAAGAACTTCGAAGGCCTTTGTTAACAGTCGATGCAGCCGGCATCTGCTTGAAGACGTTGGGACACACCAGCAGTAATAGCACGCTCCTCACTGTCGATTTGGTTTCTGTGTAATCTTATTATTTGTTATGAATGCTCCTTTTCCTTTCTGTTGTCACAGAAAACTGCGTCGTGTGTAGACACGTGAAACATGGATGAGCACGGTTTCTCCCGCGCCGTTCTCTCAGTCTGATCAGGATATCGACGGTCATCCTGTAATTGTTTTTCACTTTTCACTTTCTTGCAGTTTCACCACTCTGACTGCCTTTCAACCTGGCTCCTCCATTTCATCGCCACTAACTACCTCATCTTCAGCCAGAAGCCTGAATTTCAGGATCTTTCAGGTAGATTGCCGATTTCTGTTTTCAAAAACAAAAACTAAAACAAAAACACATTATGTCTGTTGTTCTTAGATTTGAGATGTAATCTGTAAAAACTAGTTTTGACCCAAAAGGTACAAAAGTAATAACATTCCTTTCAATTTTGCAAGGTGGTTAATTGAGGACACTTCATTTATAATTACTTACATTACATAACAACATGGTTCTTTTACACACAAGGTTTTCTTTTTCCTTTTTTGATTTATTTTTAATTTTATTTATTCATTCATTTATTTTAATTTGACAAGAGTGAGACACAGAGAGAGAGAAGGGAACTTGTCAATTTCTATGTTAAAAGATTTTCATACTTTATCATTTTTCAAAAAAGCAAATCTTTAAATTTCTTCCTTAAGATTTGAGATTGAAAGTCTTTCCTCAGAGACCAGCAGATGGTGTAATGGTTATGTCGCTGGACTCCTACATGGCCTCGACCCGGCAGTTCAAGTCCTAGACCCGGCAGCCTGAAATGCACGCTGGGCACGTGTGCATGTGTGCTGAAAATCCTGAGAGAAGAATGGAGGAAAAGGGATTGTGGCATGGTCATCCACTTTTGGGGGTGATTTCTCACTTGCTGTCTCTGTCTCTCCAGCAAGCACATGTGCTCTATAGCAAAAATCTCTCTTAAAAAAAAAAAAAAGAAAGAAAAAAGAATCTCTCCTCAATTTAGCATTACTTACTCTTTATTTAATATTTGAATGTCTTTAAAAGAGCCAAAAGATGGAAACAACAAAAACGTTCATTGATGGGTAGATAGATAAATAAAATATGGTATATCACACAGTGGAATTGCCCCCGCCCAGAGGGGGATGGCCATGCTGCAATCCTGTCTCCTTCATTACCTCTCAGGACTTTTGACATTCATGCACACTTGCCTGGCATGATTTTCAAGCCACTAGATCCCAGACCTGAACTGTGCTTGGTCTAGCATCTTAACCACCACACCACCTGCTGGCCCCACAATGGAGGAGTATTCAGCCTTGAAAAGGAATGAAATTTTGATACATGCTGCAACATGGATGCACCTTGGAGGATATATGGAGTGAAACAAATGGACAAATATTATACAATTTCACTTGTGTGGAATACTTAGAATAGTCAAATTCATAGAAACAGAAGGTCAAATAGTGGTTACCAGAGTCTGAAGGTAGGGAAGAAAAGAGTTACTTTTTAACAGGTTAAGAGTTTCAGTTAGGGGTGGTAGGAAAGTTCTGGAAACGGATAAAGGTATTGGTTGTACAACTGTATGAATATATTTTGTGCTGCTAAGCTATACGCTTTAAGTGGCAAATTTTATGTCATAGTAATAGCATGATAATAAAAAGAACTGTTCTCATGTGTCAAAGTTGTCTGCCAGCAAGCTACTGTAACCTGAATTGGTTGGATGACTTGATAAAATGGCGCTGGGGTGACACCAGGGTGATGTCAGTGGCCATGTTGCTGTGTTTCCCCTCCATTTGCAGCTGCTGGAACTCCAAGTGAGGAGAATTGTGCTGGGAACCCTGCTCCGTGGGACGGCACACCTGTTAATCACAACTATTCAGACACAGCTTTCTTGCAGGAATGTTTATACATTGCAACTCACACCCTTGGGCCCACGATCTACTTTTTGGTTTACCCCAACAGGTGAACTGGTTTGGGTGTTGCTCACTTTAATCTGACTTCTGCTGCTCGCTGCTAACAAGTGCAGTTAGTGAAATCGTAATTTTAGATTAATAAATTAAATCCCAAGAACTTCGAAGGCCTTTGTTAACAGTCGATGCAGCCGGCATCTGCTTGAAGACGTTGGGACACACCAGCAGTAATAGCACGCTCCTCACTGTCGATTTGGTTTCTGTGTAATCTTATTATTTGTTATGAATGCTCCTTTTCCTTTCTGTTGTCACAGAAAACTGCGTCGTGTGTAGACACGTGAAACATGGATGAGCACGGTTTCTCCCGCGCCGTTCTCTCAGTCTGATCAGGATATCGACGGTCATCCTGTAATTGTTTTTCACTTTTCACTTTCTTGCAGTTTCACCACTCTGACTGCCTTTCAACCTGGCTCCTCCATTTCATCGCCACTAACTACCTCATCTTCAGCCAGAAGCCTGAATTTCAGGATCTTTCAGGTAGATTGCCGATTTCTGTTTTCAAAAACAAAAACTAAAACAAAAACACATTATGTCTGTTGTTCTTAGATTTGAGATGTAATCTGTAAAAACTAGTTTTGACCCAAAAGGTACAAAAGTAATAACATTCCTTTCAATTTTGCAAGGTGGTTAATTGAGGACACTTCATTTATAATTACTTACATTACATAACAACATGGTTCTTTTACACACAAGGTTTTCTTTTTCCTTTTTTGATTTATTTTTAATTTTATTTATTCATTCATTTATTTTAATTTGACAAGAGTGAGACACAGAGAGAGAGAAGGAAAGTGAGAAAGCAGGCCACCAGGTCTGGGTCTCGAACCGTGGTCGGCCATGTGGGAATGCCCAGCACTTTACCAACCATACATACCACCTGCTGGTCCTAACACACGAGGTTTTCAAATGATTATCTTAGAGCTTCCATTCATTTCTTTTTAATTTTTTTTTTCAGGAGAGATTTTTGCTGTTGTGTGTATCTGCTCACCTGAGAGACAGAGACTGAAGGACAGAAAGCAAGAAATTACCCCTGGGGGGATGGCTGCTCTGTCATTTCTTCTCCTCCATTCTCCTCTCAGGATTTTGGGCATGCACACACACGCATCTGGCATGAGTTTTTTTTTTTGGAGAGATTTTCACTGTAGGGCGCGTACGCTCGCCAGACAGACAGAGAGAGACATAGAGACAGAAAGCGAGAAATCACCCCCCAGGGGGGATGGTCACGCTGCAATCCCTTCTCCTCCATTCTCCTCTCAGGATCTTGGGCACCCACGCACACGCGCCCGGCGTGAGTTTTAAGCCACCGGGTCCGGGACACGAACCATGGTCGACTACGTGGGAGTCCAGCGACATAGCCATTACGCTAACTGCTGGTTCTCACATCTGGCATGAGTTTTAAGCCACAGGTTCTGGGACTAAAACGGCAGTCAACTACGTGAGAGTCGAGCAATGTAACCATTAGCCATCTGCAAGCCTAATACACACACGGTTTTCTAATGATTATTTTATAGCCCCTATTCATTTTTAAATGCACTTCCACCCCACGCACACTCCCAAAATGGATAAAGCAGTGAACTGTGTCCTTGGGTGTTGAGATATGCAAGATCTTAGTTTAACTACCTAAGTCAAAGGCAAAATTTAAACGGTACAAATTTTAAATGATTTCTTGTAAAGGAGTTTATGGTTTTATTGTACTGGTAATCTACATTTATTAAGTATATATTGGGACCAGCAGTTAGCATAATGGCTATGTAGCTCTGGATTCCCACGTAGTCAACTGCGGTTCGTGCCCCGGACCCGGTGGCTTAAACTCACACCGGGCACGTGGGCATGCGTGCCCAAGATCCCGAGAGCAGAATGGAGG